CATGGGACCACCTGTAACACTTTTGTGGAACATAAGCATTACAGTTATTTCTGGGGAAAAGGGGAGTATTAAATGAATAAAATACTACTATTCTTTATTTAGAATAAACTTGATTATTAGATTTTAGGTTTTTTAAAAACTTTAACTTGTTTGCTATTACCAGTTGAAAAATTTAGATTAGAATTGTAGACCGCCCTTTCCTTGTACTAAACCCCAGCCAGGATGGTAGGTGAAATATATCAACATGGGGGCAGTCAATAAGCCCTAATAATATCTGGCAGACCATGCTCTGCTAGGTATCCTCTAGCTACATTTTGGGTTGCTTGTTATATACCCGGAAATGATATTCACTTCAGTATTAGTCAAAAATAAAATGAAAGAAGTAGATGCAATGAAACTTGTATTTACCTACACAAGAGGCTAAAGTATATTGTTCCCTTCCCCATTCCCTTCCCATTCTAATGATAGCCCCAATAACTTAGGTCAAGTATTTGCTGATTATTTGTTGTTTGAACAACAGCCATTCCATGGCCTTGACTCGTACCTCTCTGGTAACTACCATCTGCCAAGAGACTACCTACTTAGAACAAAATATTAAGATAAATTAGTCACATGTATTGATAGCAAATATACGATGTTTTTGCACAAGAGGGTTGTAATAGATGCTCACTTTAATATGCACTGGTAGTCCATCCGCAGCATTAATAGGCTTTAAAGCATCATAGACTTCTTTACTCAAATCGTGAGAGGGAGTATAGAGCACGAGATTGTTACGAAAGCAAAGATTGCAATCATGGGAAGAACCCAGGTATTGAAACTTACATTTCAAATACTCTGGGGCCAATGTATCGTTAAGAATAGTGAACAGAGTGCTAAGGACTCTAAGGCTCCTGCTTTGTGGGATATTTGACCATTTAAGTTGAGAGCGATAGAAAGAGACGGGGTCATACTTTCGAAGACCGTAAATGAAACGGATACAGTTGTTGAGAAGCCGATCCAATTTATTGACCAAGTATTTGTCTGCATCTAAGTAACACACATCAGCATAATCAAACATAGGAAGAATTAGCGATTGAATTAGAATTTTCTTCGTACAAGGCGGTAAGATATTTTTATATCTGTACAATTGTCTCAAAGTAGGACAAACTTTACGGCTAACTTCCTCAACATGACTGCGCCAAGTAAGTGAACAATCCAAGGTTAATCCCAAGTCCCTAACATGAGAGCTGTAAGGAATTACCTCGCCATTATAAATCAGAGGATCGAACGATGTATGATTAAGTTTACCTAATTGACGTGTACTGCCTAAGACTATAGCTTGGCATTTGCTTGGATTAACAGCGACCACATACCTTCTTGACCAATTAAGAATCCAGTTAAGATCGGAGGTAATCACGGTTACAGCATTATTTATGGAAGTATCATCAGCATGAACATAGAGTTGCAAGTCGTCGGCATACATATGGTAGGAAGCACGAAAATTACAAGTAATCATGTTAATAAATATAGAGAAAAGTAAAGGAGGGAAAATTCCACCTTGCGGAACACCAGTGGTTAATTCACCCCAATCGGACTTTTTTTGGTTTAGTTGATCGACACGTGCGTGCTCAATTATGAGAGGAGAAGGAGGCGGCATGTTGTTGAACTTCACATGTTATGGAAATATTTTATGCAGGCAGGTTTACTCACGATTTTTTTTCACCACCGAACACGTGATAAATCAGCACTTAAAGTTAAAGTAAAGTAAAGTTACAGCCTATATACGTCCCACTGCTGGGCTCAGGCCTCCCCTCATTTCTGAGAGGGTTTAGGGCAAGGAAGTGTCCGCCGCGCTGTCCAAATGCGTGTTGGCGAACTTCACATGTCTTCGAAATATTTTTTTTTCTTATTTCTCAGACATGCAGGTTTCCTCACGATGTTTTCCTTCACCGCCGAGCACGTGGTAAATCAGCACTTAAAATTGCAATTAAAAATTTCATTGGTGCCGGCGAGGATCGAACCCGGGTTACTCGCGTTCTGTTATATTTACAGCGAGCGTTAACCATTGAGCTACCACTGCTCTATCAGTCAGCACTTAATAATAATAAAAATAAAATTTATTTGTATAGACATGGGTGTGACTGGCTGCTCGTGTGATGTTAGCAGAAATAATCTTATAGTTTCCACATGTTTTTTTCTTTTATGTTATACATATATTATTGGCTGAAAGACAAAGTACATATACGATAGTTAATTTCGTTACAAACGAAAGAAAATCAAAAGATATATAAAATATCAGAGTTAAAATTATTACAAAATAAACTGTCAATTTAAGTATACAATTAAATTGTCAGTTTCATTATAATTTAAAAAATCTATGATTTTATGTATAAATATGTATTAAATTAAAAATAGAGATATTATTATTATTAACACGCGCTTAAATAATAAATAGTGTAGTGGTGGTGAATATCCACGAGCCCATATCGTCGAGAGCGTGTAATGGACGACAGAGAGAAAATGAATCAGGAGATGGGCAGCAACATCTTCCTGATGACAATTCAAAATAATAAGGAACTGTGGTTGCCTATCCGCTTGTCAAGCGTGCTCCGGGGGGTTTTGGGTTTTTTTTATTTTGTTGAGATTTTCTTCGATCGAATCCGGGTTGCTCGCGTACAGTGAAATTAACAGTGAGCACTTAGCCTAGCGCTGAGCCTAAATTCTGTTAAAAAAACTTAATGCCACAATCTATTCTCTCGCATTCTACCTCAGGACAAATACAAAATTATAAATGCATTTTGTAAAAGTTTCAGAAATAAGTTTCATAACTGTGTAGTGCTAGATATAAAAATTAAATTCCGAGATATTTTAAATATGAATCGACTTAGTGAAGTAAGAAAGCAGTAAACAAGAATCTTTATAATAAATTCCGCAAACGGCCAACATTCCATAAATTTGTTCGATTGAATAACCAAATTTCTCGTATTCAGCATAAATCAAAGCCAGTACTCATCGGACGATGAAATATACCAGATTGATCCTTATCCCTTCCTGTAAGGTTCTGAAAATTGAAAGTTGATTGCAAAAACTCCATCATAACTCCGTCAAAAAAATCATCTGTGATTCACTTTAGGTAATGAGGTCAGAGGATCTTTTGACGATTGGTAGCGCCTCGCTCATGATTGTGAATAAATGACGCTTCAAAATAAATCAGCCTTGAAAGCATTTGCGTGGAACACTTTCTTTTTTTTTCTTTCTTTGTTGATCATAAAATCATGTTTTTTCTCACTGAGTACACTCAATATAAAAAGCGCGCGAAAATAGTTTAACATTTACAACTGTAAATAATAGTCCTTTTTGCCTCCAGCCTGACTTCAAAAGTAGTTACAACTTTCTAGTGTTAGCTATCATATGTTATCATAATATTATGCTGAGGAAATATTATAATAGTACATCTAACAATACTCGTAGTACGTAATATGTACATCGTCACTGAGTATATGATATGTGTTTGTAAACAGGCCTGTGCAGCTTAAATACTCAGGGTCGGAACGAGAAAGTACCGCCGTGCCGGTCTTAGCGGTCTAGTGCCGGTCCTCGCCGTGTCTTTCATTTCCCTTTACTCCTGTATACCTGATAAATTACGATAACTTTTGATCCGATGATTTTATTCCGCTTCTAAAAGAGGGTATGATTTTCGTTTAATCGTTAGATTCATCTTCGAAGTGTCGAAAGTTGCTCGCAAAATATGATAATGTTGAATGCCAGTGTAAAATAGCAGCTTAATGCTATTGTTTTTCGAATGGTGAAATGGAGAATCCTTTTATTCTAGTTAACGATTTTTAATATTTTGAGAAGTAAATAAAATCTTACACCTAAACCTCAAAGGGAACACAACATATAAGCTCCCTTGCTCTGTAAAATATTTTTGTTCACCATACGTTGTCATGGAGCCATTTTATTTTCGAAAACATTTGTAAATTTAAACTGTAGTCCTCTGAGCCTGGTCGCAAGCGTCATTATCCAGTGGCGCACGCGGTTGCTCTTCTAAGTCCCGCCTGACGTCGTGGGCCGCACTCTACAAACACTTTATATGGTGAATAGTTTTGTGTATGTGTATACTTTTTAATTATTATATCGGGTTCCGTTATAATGCAAATATAATTTCTTAATGTTCATCTGTGCTGCGGTCGGTCTAGTGTTAGTGTAAATAAGTAATCATTATGGAACATAAGTATTGTAAAGGACTCAAAAAGTCAAGATTATGAATATGGATAAATTGAACACAAACAAGTCCGTAAAAATTACTTTCATCAAATTAAAACAATAATCAGGACTCTATTAAGTATTTCAAAAAATAAATTTTAGTTTTTGAAATATTTATCTTTAACACATGCTTCATCCCCTTCCCCTCAATTTAATTTCAAGCAACAGCCTACACTTCTAACTCGACAAGACGTTTACCAAGACCAAAGAGATTTTATAAATATTTTATTGCCTCGTCCCGTGCGTGCAGTAAGAAATGTCTATGGTAAATTTCATAAATATATTATGGGTTTAGACAGAGGACGATATAAACATTAGGTTTACGCTAAACGTAAAGTATCCAAACTAAGGAACAACATTAAATATACAAGACGTATATAATGCTATATATACCTGGAATTCCATCCACTATACGTTATACACGAAATTTTCTACCACGCAGACCACTACAAAGGATCTGGTATATCGCGAATATTAACTTCACAAAAATTCACATCGTTATTAAAAACTAATTTCTCTCGAGTAATGAGTTCTGATTAAATAAAAAACAACAAATCAAGCAGCAAGTCAAAAAATCAAGAAAGAAGAATGGAAAATCCAGATCAATAAAGAGTAACAAGAAAAATATGATTGCAACTACTAGTAACACCAGACCTAATAGCATTGAAGTGGAAGTATACATGAGAAGATTTTTGAGTAACCCTTACTGCCCTTTTTTCTTCATATAAAAACCATAACGCCAATAATATAAACCAATGGAACCAATGGAGGATCAAGATGGAAGAAGAATTCAAAAATGTAACAAGAATTATGCTCGAACCATACAGCCAGAACTGAACAAAAACAATACTGATACTCTCACGACCTCACCAGCAGTGCTGTCTAAGAAGAAAGAAGCCATAGCCAGGAGGCGTCAAAGGTACAGCTTCAGCCTGAGTCGTCAGCAGCACATCCGTACCAGCCAGCAGCTCGTGCGCATGCCGTGTTCATCACCAGCCTGTCTGCACGTTCATATACTGGTATATATACCCTTGGTATCGAAGGGTGCAGTTGTTGATTGTTAAACATGTTGCCACAGCAGTAGAAAGAAATCAGAGGTACAGCGAACAGCTAGCCAGGTTCCGTAGCAGATGCAAGACACACCTTGCAATATATATATCTATATATATATATATATATATAAGGTACTACGCATTTGTAGAAAAAGACAATCTTTAAATGATTAATTAACAAATTAAGAAAAACGCAAAACACTAACGTGGCGATATGATGAGCAACCATATAAATATAAAAACCTGCAATGAAATATACAAACGTAGTAAGAGTAGAGCATAATGAAGGGCTGTCGTTGACAAATTTAACAAGCAAACAGTCCACGGTTCACTTTTTAAATAACTATATAATACATTAAACACACAATTATTTAACACTCACAGTTTATGTTACATAAGGTAAGACATTTTAATTACGTAACATAAAAAAATATAACAAATAAATAAAATATATTACGGGAAATATTAATATTAACAGAAAAATTAAAAAAATATTTATTATCTTACTAACGCTCCAATGAATCGGTAAATAATTAATGGTTTATAACGATGATATTCTTTATTTTCTTTATTTGCAGGAATATAGTAGTAAAATGGTGTTCAAATATAATTCAAGTTCCAAATATTCCACCTTAGTTGTATGCAAATATTATTGGTCAAGTAACTATAACAATATTTATCTAATATTTAAGAACACGGAAACTATTTCATTTTATTCAAATGATTTGATAACTAATTAATAACAGTGTTAGAGGAAATGGAAACTGTAAGTTTTTTGTTACAGTTAAATGTCAAATATTTGACATATTTATTAATTTTACAGTCATTATATAGTATACCGTCTATTACAAATGTTACATAACACATTATCATTAATTTATTTCTGAGTTTATGTCAGACTCATGAATTAAATATGTATTTTGAATTTTTAAGTCATTGTAAGTATACATAACACATTATCATTAATTTATTTCTGAGTTTATGTCAGACTTATGAATTAAATATGTCAATTTTATATAATAATCAAAATTACTATTATAAACGTTGGTAGCTGAGGTGTAATTCTAAAATATAATTTATTATCAAGTAGGTTATTGTCATTAAAGAATTTCTCTGTAAAATAACAATATTTTGTGAGTAACAACTCCAAAACTAATTTCATAAATAACAACAAGTTTTTATGTTTAATATTATCAGGTAGTTAATTGATTTGATTCCCTCAGTCGTATTTTACGACACTAGCAGTAGCAGTGCAGTGCAGTACCAGCAGTAGTGGATATTCGTACACCACCACTACATGGTAAATATAGTTCATTATATACACGATTTCACGAGAGCTTTTTTAACCAGGCTTCAACATTAATTCGCTTTAGAAATATAGTTCATTATATACACGATTTCACGAGAGCTTTTTTAACCAGGCTTCAACATTAATTCGCTTTAGAAATATAGTTCATTATATACACGATTTCACGAGAGCTTTTTTAACCAGGCTTCAACATTAATTCGCTTTAGAAATATAGTTCATTATATACACGATTTCACGAGAGCTTTTTTAACCAGGCTTCAACATTAATTCGCTTTAGAAATATAGTTCATTATATACACGATTTCACGAGAGCTTTTTTAACCAGGCTTCAACATTAATTCGCTTTAGAAATATAGTTCATTATATACACGATTTCACGAGAGCTTTTTTAACCAGGCTTCAACATTAATTCGCTTTAGAAATATAGTTCATTATATACACGATTTCACGAGAGCTTTTTTAACCAGGCTTCAACATTAATTCGCTTTAGAAATATAGTTCATTATATACACGATTTCACGAGAGCTTTTTTTAGGGTTCCGTAGTCTACTAGTAATATGTCTGTCTGTCCGTCTGTCCTTCCTCGCTTAATCTCTGTGACCGTTAGCACTAGAAAGCTGAAATTTTGTACCAATATGTGTATCAATCACGCCGACAAAGTGGTAAAATAAAAATTGGAAAAAAATGTTTTATTAGGGTAGCCCCCCCTATATGTAAAGTGGGAAGTGATTTTTTTTATTTCAACCCTAACGTGTGATATATTGTTGGAAAGGTATTTAAAAATGAATAGGGGTTTACTAAAATCATATTTTGATAATGTCAATAATTTCGAAAATAATCACTCCAAAAGTAAAAAACTAGGTGTTCCCCCCCCCCCTCTAACTTTTGAAACATAAGTTTAGAAAATATGAAAAAAATCTGAAAAGTAGAACTTTATAAGGACTTTCTAGGAAAACAATTTTGAAATTGGATGGAAAGTCGGAGCGCCTGCCGCGGAGCGTGCAATGTTGCACGCTCCATGTTCGCGCACGTACCCACTACCGGGAGCAGTTGGAACATAATGGATACCCACCTTTATACTCATAAGTGGGAACACTTATTGTGACGGACGGGAAACTACGGAACCCTACACTGAGCGTGGCCCGACACGCTCTTGGCCGGTTTTTTTAACCAGGCTTCAACATTAATTCGCTTAAGAAATAAACGCAGTAATTTAAAATGCAACGTTTGAATATTTATACAGCTCTGCGCTTAAAACATTTGCAACATTGAAACAACTAAACAAACAGAATTCATTGCTGAAGTTTAACGTCAGAGCTTCTCATATTATAAGAGAGACAGTAAAAGCCTTAACAAATTACGTATGCATTAACATTGCGCTGCAGTAATTATGACTAAATTACTTATAGAACGCGGACCCGGCCCGGGGGTTGTTGAGGAGGGGAGGCCTGAGCAGCATGGGAGTATAGGGTAATTACTTTTTTATCTATAGTGATCAGAACACCCGGCTAATAAATAAATAAGAACGTCGCAAGTATATATCGATCATATACAGAACTAATTGCACATTTTTTATAGAAAAATGGTAACAAACGAGCGCAAAGTCTACCTGATGCTAAGTGGAAGCTGCGGCTCATAGGCATATACATTTCTCCTTTATTAAGAATTAAAATACAGATGCGTTGGCACCCCTTAAGACTATGATGGAATTGCTCGTTGCCAGCAAAAAGGGTCTCCGGTTTCTACTCTCACCATACGAAACACAGCAGCGTTAAGCTGCTATTTTAAACTGGTATTCGGTGAGAATGTGGTTCCACTCCGATTTAGCCAACTCATTTGTGCTACAACCGTAACATAGCTGCAGCGTGGCTCTACCACATTAGGATCCTATTACTAATTAATATCTTGCCATAACAACTATCATGATAAAAAACTGTTAAACATTAATTTGCACACAAATAATGGAATCAGGCATTACTTTAAGAATTTCTTCGCCCACATCCGCTCAATAAAATAAGTGGCTTACTTAGGTTGAATAGCACCTCCCACCGTCCCTCAATATTGAGTCCTATTCCCCTGTACCAAGAATGCTAGTTGCGACCATACCGTCGGATCTCCTGCCATCATCGCTAAGTATTCTTTTTCTTCTTTTTAAACTTAAAATTTCTCCTGTATCGTGGGAATCATTAATTAATCCCCTCGACCGGAGAAGGACCATTCCTGCACAGAATTCCAGCGTAAAAAGCAAGCATATTGCTGTTGTGTTTCATATTTTGGCTGATGGAAACCAGAGTTCCTATTATACTAGCATCGGAGCATTCCATCTTGGTCTTGAAATGAGGCACAACACTCACTTGACATAAGGCGACTGCCCTCACTCATGTTACACTTTATCATCTTCATCATCATAGCTCTTCATAATTTTAATGCTGAACATAGGTCTCCCACTAGGAATGACTCAGAACACGGTTCTAGGCCTCCTACTTCCACCAACTTCCTGCATGTCTTTATCATTTGCATGACGTATAAACATTTTAATACCTAACTTGAGTTTCGATGCAAATAACAATAAAGAGCATTAGTGTTTTGTATCTCGCGTCCAAGCTTTATTTATAATGTATTTGAAGTTAATAGCCCAAATTCAAATATGATGTAGATTGTTAATTTTCCTCTAACTTTGCACGTTTCATCTGCAATGTCGTTTTTCTCTTGTTATCATGAAATTATCAATTGCTGTCATTACTCCATTGTGTCATAGTCTTGTGATTACGATTAATAATAATTTCTTATATCACACAGATTATGCAATGTGAAAAATTTAAACTATGGTATTTTAAACATCTGTCATTTACAATATTCATATAATTTATTTATTCATTCACGAATGAATGAATTGGTTCTACAATATCGTCATCGTCATTTATCATTAACTTATGATTATTTTTAGACTAATTTTGAAAGACTATTGGATAAGATTTTTTCATGTTACTAATTTTTGTAAGTAAATCCCTCAACAACACAGCTTGAAAAAACGATTGAAGACATTAAGCGTCCCTAGTGGCAAACAATGCTTATTACAAACCTTACCTTTTTACTGGAATCGAGGCATTCCATCTTAGTCCTCAAGGGTGACAACAATTCAATTATTAGTTGAGGTTAAATGTGTATGTCTATGGACCACGGCATCCACTTACCATCAGGTGGACTTTGTGCTCGTTTGTCACCCAATGCTGTAAAAATATATTTATTGCGTAATTATTATTTTCGTCGACCCTCATTTCTGATTAAAGCAACACGATACTACGAGACAAACCACGCATTAAAAAACACACCCACAGGAGTATTTTCTCCTGTATAGTTCACATACATAACTTTTGCAAGGACAAACATCCAGACCCGGAACAATTATTTGTAGTCCAATTACTTGTTACGTGCGGGATTTGAACCCGTGGCCCTCAGCACCGCAACTCGATGCATGTAATTGAAAAAATAGTTAAAGACCCATAAAATATATAATAAGAAATCCGGGCAATCTGTGTTTATGGTACTAATGTAACCACAAATTTGTAAATATGTATGCCGACAGATAGACCCGGTTAGTGAAGTTTAGACAGCGGGGTAATCTGATGTTGCCCGATTTATAACTTTTGGTAGACATGTTAAGTCTATTATTGTATATCATACAATTAAGTTGGGTTTGTTG